ATACAGCCCTGATGTCAGGAGTGATGTTCTCTTTAAGGGGGTCTATACAGCCCTGATGTCAGGAGTGATGTTCTCTTTAAGGGGGGTCTATACAGCCCTGATGTCAGGAGTGATGTTCTCTTTAAGGGGGGTCTATACAGCCCTGATGTCAGGAGTGATGTTCTCTTTAAGGGGGGTCTATACAGCCCTGATGTCAGGAGTGATGTTCTCTTTAAGGGGGGTCTATACAGCCCTGATGTCAGGAGTGATGTTCTCTTTAAGGGGGGTCTATACAGCCCTGATGTCAGGAGTGATGTTCTCTTTAAGGGGGGTCTATACAGCCCTGATGTCAGGAGTGATGTTCTCTTTAAGGGGGGTCTATACAGCCCTGATGTCAGGAGTGATGTTCTCTTTAAGGGGGGTCTATACAGCCCTGATGTCAGGAGTGATGTTCTCTTTAAGGGGGGTCTATACAGCCCTGATGTCAGGAGTGATGTTCTCTTTAAGGGGGGTCTATACAGCCCTGATGTCAGGAATGATGTTCTCTTTAAGGGGGGTATATACAGCCCTGATGTCAGGAGTGATGTTCTCTTTAAGGGGGGTCTATACAGCCCTGATGTCAGGAGTGATGTTCTCTTTAAGGGGGGTCTATACAGCCCTGATGTCAGGAGTGATGTTCTCTTTAAGGGGGGGTCTATACAGCCCTGATGTCAGGAGTGATGTTCTCTTAAGGGGGGTCTGTACAGCCCTGATGTCAGGAGTGATGTTCTCTTTAAGGGGGGTCTGTACAGCCCTGATGTCAGGAGTGATGTTCTCTTTAAGGGGGTCTATACAGCCCTGATGTCGGAGTGATGTTCTCTTTAAGGGGGGTCTATACAGCCCTGATGTCAGGAGTGATGTTCTCTTTAAGGGGGGTCTATACAGCCCTGATGTCAGGAGTGATGTTCTCTTTAAGGGGGGTCTGTACAGCCCTGATGTCAGGAGTGATGTTCTCTTTAAGGGGGGTCTGTACAGCCCTGATGTCAGGAGTGATGTTCTCTTTAAGGGGGGGTCTATACAACCCTGATGTCAGGAGTGATGTTCTCTTTAAGGGGGGTCTATACAGCCCTGATGTCAGGAGTGATGTTCTCTTTAAGGGGGGTCTATACAGCCCTGATGTCAGGAGTGATGTTCTCTTTAAGGGGGGTCTGTACAGCCCTGATGTCAGGAGTGATGTTCTCTTTAAGGGGGGTCTGTACAGCCCTGATGTCAGGAGTGATGTTCTCTTTAAGGGGGGTCTATACAGCCCTGATGTCAGGAGTGATGTTCTCTTTAAGGGGGGTCTATATAGCCCTGATGTCAGGAGTGATGTTCTCTTTAAGGGGGGTCTATACAGCCCTGATGTCAGGAGTGATGTTCTCTTTAAGGGGGGTCTATACAGCCCTGATGTCAGGAGTGATGTTCTCTTTAAGGGGGGTCTATACAGCCCTGATGTCAGGAGTGATGTTCTCTTTAAGGGGGGTCTATACAGCCCTGATGTCAGGAGTGATGTTCTCTTTAAGGGGGGTCTATACAGCCTTGATGTCAGGAGTGATGTTCTCTTTAAGGGGAGTCTATACAGCCCTGATGTCAGGAGTGATGTTCTCTTAAAGGGGGGTCTATACAGCCCTGATGTCAGGAGTGATGTTCTCTTTAAGGGGGGTCTATACAGCCCTGATGTCAGGAGTGATGTTCTCTTTAAGGGGGGTCTATACAGCCCTGATGTCAGGAGTGATGTTCTCTTTAACCCTCTAGAGTCTAAGCCCTGTCTAAGACGGAGGAGGAGGGGGGGGGGGGGGGGGGGGGGGGAATAATAGTGAAGACATCAAAACTATGAAATAACACATATGGAATCATGAAGTAAAAAAAAAGTGTTAAACAAATCAAAATATATTTTATATTTGAGATTCTTCAAAGTAGCCACCCTTTGCCTTGATGACAGCTTTGCACACTCTTGGCATTCTCTCAACCAGCTTCCCCTGGAATGCTTTTCCAACAGTTCCCACATATGCTGAGCACTTGTTTCCTGCTTTTCCTTCACTCTGCGGTCCAACTCATCCCAAACCATCTCAATTAGGTTGAGGTCAGGTGATTGTGGAGGCCAGGTCATCTGATGCAGCACTCAATCACTCTCCTTCTTGGTCAAATAGCCCTTACACAGCCTGGAGGTGTGTTTGGTCATTGTCCTGTTGAAAAACAAATGATAGTCCCACTAAACGCAAATCAGATGGGATGGTGTATCGCTGCAGAATGCTGTGGTAGCCATGCTGGTTAAGTGTGCCTTGAATTCTAAATAAATCACTGACAGTGTCACCAGCAAAGCACCCCCACACCATCACACCTCCTCCTCCATAATTCACCATGGGAACCACACATGCAGAGATCATTCGTTCACCTACTCTGCATCTTGCTCGTGTTTCTTGGCCCAAGCAAGTCTCTTCTTCTTATTGGTGTCCTTTAGTAGTGGGTTCTTTGCAGCAATTCGACCATGAAGGCCTGATTCACGCAGTCTCCTCTGAACAGTTGAGATGTGTCTGTTATTTGAACTCTGTGAAGCATTTATTTGGGCTGCAATTTCTGAGGCTGGTAACTCTAATGAACTTATCCTCTGCAGCAGAGGTAACTCTTGGTCTTCCTTTCCTGTGGCGCTCCTCATGAGAGCCAGTTTCATCATAGTGATTGATGGTTTTTCAAAGTTCTTGAAATGTTCCTGATTGACTGACCTTCATGTCTTAAAGTCATGATAGACTGTCATTTCTCTTTGCTTATTTGAGTTGTTCTTGCAATAATATGGACTTGGTCTTTTACCCCCCCCCCCTACCTTGTCACAACAAAACTGATTGGCTCAAACGCATTAAGAAGGAAATAAATTCCACAAATTAACCTTTAACAAGGCACACCTGTCACGTACGTTCAAGGACGGGTCAGACCAAGGCACAGCGTGATATGCGTACATGTTTATTTAACTTATAAACACACGACAAAACAACAAACGAAACGTGAAGTCCAAAGGTTGAACACATAGAATATACACAAACAAGAATATACACACCCTGACTCAACATATATGAGTCCCCTGAGTCAGGGCGTGACAACACCTGTTAATTGAAATGCATTCCAGGTGACTACCTCATGAATCTGGTTGAGAGAATGCCAAGAGTGTGCAAAGCTGTCATCAAGGAAAAGGGTGGCTACTTTGAAGAATCTCAAATATAAAATATATTTTGATTTGTTTAACACTTTTTTGGTTACTACATGATTCCGTATGTGTTATTTTATAGTTTTGTTGTCTTCACTATTATTCTACAATGAAGAAAATAGTAAAAATAAAGAAAAACCCTTGAATGAGTAGGTGTGTCCAAACTTTTGACTGGTACTGTATATATATATATTTTTACATGTATTTATCCCCTTATTTTAGGCACTAAACTACAGTGTCTCCATATATACACGTCCATAAATGTTTTCAACTGGTACTGGGGAACTTCAGAAGAGTCTTGTGGACATCCTAGAGCAAAACATGTACGTGTTCGTGAGTGTCTCACCTTTCTGCAGATGGGTCATATTAGTATGTAGCCCACACTGTTCGGTCGCTGCACACAGAAGTTGGCAAAAGAGGCTGTACCTACTTTAGACGTGTCCCGTGACGCTTCTGGGAGTCATAGAGCAGAACAGAGAACACCATCGTGTTTGTGGGAGGTTCATCTTTCCATAGAGTGGTCATTATAGTTTGTGGGCCAAACCGTTCGGATGCTACAGACATTTCCGTGAGAAGACTGATTTTCGGGCCCATGCAAAAACATATCTCTAGCTTAAACAGACTGATTTTGATGGAGATTTTTTAATTATGTTAATTCGATTTCCCTGGGGCCGCGGAAATTGTAGGCTAAGGATTAAGGGAGTGATGTTCTCTTTAAGGCGGGTCTATACAGCCCTCATAAAAGGAGTGATGTTCTCTTTAAGGGGAGTCTATACAGCCCTTATAAAAGGAGTGATGTTCTCTTTAAGGGGGGTCTGTACAGCTCTGATAAAAGGAGTGATGTTCTCTTTAAGGGGGGTCTGTACAGCTCTGATAAAAGGAGTGATGTTCTCTTTAAGGGGGGTCTATACCACCCTGATTAAAGGAGTGATGTTCTCTTCAAGGTGGGTCTAATCTCTCGTGGACAGATTCTCGTGGACAGATGAAACGGCAAGAATCTGTCAAGGCCCACGTAGAATTATGTGATTACGAGCAGCAGTAGTTCTTGGTTTTGGGTTTTCGTTGATAATCAGTATTGGGCGAAGGCGGTGCTTAAACTGGTGCGGTGATTTTCAGGCCTGTGTGCGGATGATAAACCGTTTCCACTAGATTCCACAGCCACAGAGTCAAAGTAGGTTGTATTGTAAAAATACATGAAAACTAAAATTAGCTTTTTGGCCATGATAAATTAGCGGAACGTAGGGGTTTGGCTGAACGTTTCAGTTTGCGAGGGAGGAGACGTCGCTTCCTTTCTTTGCACAAAGGTAACCACAATTGTTAACGGCATTCCCCTTAGAAGTAAAACAGGAAATGACAAACTTTCGTGACAGAATTTGACTTCTGGGTAACCGAGATTAAGGGGGGTCTATACAGCCCTGATAAAAGGAGGGGAAGTGAAATAAGGAAGGTGCGATTATTTGTTGTGGGCAGAGGAGAGGAAGATTGCTGAAACATGAAATGAAAAACTAAGGAGACTATGGAGAAACAAGGAAAGAGCAGCCACATTGTAAAAGTAAAGTGTAGAATTTACCACAGAATGCAGGTCTTCAGGTTTTTCATCAGTTTGAGCTCTATCACTTTCATATTACAAAACATATATATTTTTAGAAGCTTTTAGCTTTTAGCAGACAGCATCTTTACATGGGCTCTCATGGCACTCCATAAGAGTGTGTCCTTCCAATAGTTATAAGCTTTTAGCTAACCTTTACATGTGTTCTCATGGCACTCCATAAGAGTGTGTCCTTCCAATAGGACAGCTTGGTCAAATGAATTGCTTGATTGGTGGACCAATGGGGGATAGGTATACCTGGGCGTCGGCAAGCATGACGTCCTTAATGAGGGGCAGGCCGCGTGACTCCCCGTTCTCCACACGCACATAGTGCACCTGGTAACCACGGATCTGGCCGTGTTGTCGCCCCGGCAACAGGGAGCGCCACATGACCTTGAGCGCCGTGGAGTTGAGCACCTCCACCTCGACCCGCCTAGGAGGAGCTCCGGGAACTGTGGGTAAAAAACAAGATAGCGTCTATGTTAAAACACTGCTGCAGAACAGTACACTCATATTGTATGTATAGGTTATCTATCTGGCACAAGTACCCTCACACAAAAACTACAAGAGCTATTCCCCTGACAGCCAGATAAACTGGCAAACATCAATTGTGACCTGCTCCTCACCCCCACAACACACCATAGGGACAAAACTTTCAAGCACACAAAACTGTACTACACAACAACACCTGCTACCGGCAAGAAAATGACGTCGTCCCTCCCTCACAACCTGACCTCCCAATACGTGTCTAGTCTGTGTCGCCAGTCTCCGGTTGAACCCCTGTCTCTCAGACATAATGGAAAGCCTTTATGTGAGGCCTTGGTGTCCTGCCTTTTACTGTGCACCGCACTGGCCTCCAGAGACAAATGGGCTCCAACACATGGTTAATAAAACTGTGGCCCATTTGCACAGGTGTATTGTGGGAGATGGCGAGCCATCAGTTGGCTGAGTTTCCTCCCATCAGTGTAATGGGCTGTGCTGTAACACAGGGTCAACCGTATGAACGCCTGAGGTGTGGCGCGCTCATAACCACTAGTGGCTGCACACTAGGCTTTTAGACACCATAGAGGAAGAAGGAGATGAGATGGGGCGGCTACATCATAAATTACATGTAGAAGTGGAGGGGAAATGTATTAACAATGATGCTGCAATTTCCCAAGGGTATTGTCTATGTTTATTTAGACGATTATGTCTGGGGGTCCTTGATTTGAACCACTGAGCTAAGTTATTGAAAGTATGAATTTATCCTTTGTTTGGAAAAGCTATTGAATGGGCATCATAATGTTATTTTATGGGTGACTCCTGCTACAACCCTTATCATACGGTAGTAGAGGTATTGCCCATTATCTGAGAAGCAGATTATTGTGTTTCTAAGTCAACATCCCAGTTATTGTATTTGCCTCACAAGAAGTCTACAGACTATCAGTATTGCAGGCGGAACATGCTCAAGTACCATCCTCGTCGGTGCGGCAGAGCAGGGGCTCGCTCTCTGGGCCCGGCCCGATCTCAGTGAAGGCGGCCAGGGTGACGCTGTACTGGGTCCACTTCTCTAGCTTCTGCAGCAGCACCTTCCCGTCACTGGGCAGCACGGCTGGCTCCTCCATGGGCTCCCCGGCACCACCGCCCTCGACGGAGGCTCCCACCACCTGGTAGCGCACTAGGTACCCCGCCAGGGCACCATTCTGGCTCTCCACAGGCGGGGGGCGCCAACTTACCAGCAGGGTAGTGGAGCTGGAGCTGCTGCACTTAACGTCTTGAGGGGGGGCTGAGGGCTCTGGTCAGGTGGGAGGATAGGGAGGAAGGGGGTAGGAGGAGGGACGGTAGGAAGGAAGGAAGGAAGGAAGGAAGGAAGGAAGGAAGGAAGGAAGGAAGGAAGGAAGGAAGGAAGGAAGGAAGGAAGGAAGGAAGGAAGGGGGAAAGGGGTGAAAAACAACAAACAAAAAGATGGCAGAGATAAAGAAAATGATCAAAGGAAAAACCCAAGGAGGACATGAACTGATAAAAAATGTAAACACAAAAGTAAAGGAACCGAAACACTGACTCGTCAGGCAAATGTAAACATAAAAGGAGTATGGGGACTGGATGACACAGCGTGCGTAATAATGAAGCAAAATGGCCGCCAGTGAGATACTGGGCCAGTTCTTTTGACAGCTGGGACTATGTCACAGACTCACAGAGTTCTATGTCCAGACAGGTGGTCTGTAACACCAAGGGGTCTGTCAGTTATCAGCCCGTGTGATACCAAGGGAGCTAGCTATCTGATGTTTGGCTGTCCAGGCCTGCACTGCACTGCGCTCCACACTATCACTATCGATTTAAGGATGAAACAAAAGAGAGGGGCTCTGGGTTTATTTGTAATTGTATAAAAGCCATTCAACACAGTGGCTGGGTTTTTGGTGTGGAGCGGTCTTCCAAAACATATTAAAAACTACACATCTGTGAACTTCTAAATCAAAATGAAAGCCTGGGCATTCTAATCTGCATGGAGCTCTTACAGCTCGCCGAGTGAGTGATAGAATGTTTCACTTCTCACCCCGCGTCAGGCAGACAACAGGACATAGATGAGACCCATTCTATTCAAGTCAAGATCTCCATTTTTCTACCAACACGCCTCCGTGTGAATAGAATAATGCAATATTATTCACTGAATCATTGGTGACAAGCCCAGTTCATTATTATGTAATTACTATGTAATTCATCTGTTATTGTGTTGGAATAAGATAAAATGAAAAACATGAGTCCATAGAAAAAGGCATTCCACATTGTGCAAATCAGGGACAAAAAATTGAAATTAAACCCACAGGAACAACAAAATACGGTATGTTTTCATTCCAAAACAAGAGCTTGAGGAAGCAAAACACAAATTGAAACAAGGTACCGGAAAATGAATTCTCTCTGTAACCGAGGTGATACAAAAGGAAGAAAAACATCCAAAATGTCAAATCATAAAAAAACATGAAAAAAACTAGCTATTGAGCAGAAAACTGAAAATAATAACATTACAACTTCAAAACACAAGCACCGTCTGCATTATACGTACCTGGCTTCCTTCAAATACTAACTTTTTAAGACTTTCTTACCAGCAGCACCTACCAACAGAGTGATCTCACCCCGAGGCAGTGAGCTACAACCCTCTCCCTCCATATTAGTGTGTGACAAACACAGACACATCTTATTTAGATTTTGCACATTTTAGTTATTTAGCAGACACTCTTATCCAGAGCGATTTACAGGAGTAATAAGGATTAAGTGCCTTGTTCAAGAGCACATCGGAATATTTTTCACCTAGTCGGCTCGGGGATTCAAACCAATGACCTTTCGGTTACTGGCCCAACGCGGTTAACCGCTAGGCTACCTGCCGCCTTATCAACTGGGCTTTGTAACTGGTCAAATCGGTCTGTTTAGTTAGGTCGTTTTGGGCTCTTTTGGGTTGCTAAGAGGGAGAGAGTTGGCTCTGTGCTGTAGCCAGGACTGGGCCGGAGGGAGGGTCCACAAGACTGAGGAATGGGAGCATTTGGGGAAAAACTACACCCACCTGGTTCTGTGTTTCTGCATTTGACCTTCGGAAAAAGGACACAGTTCCTTTTTACCGTAACCATTTGCTCAGAGAATCCCATTTCATATCGTCCTCACCTGTGTGCCGGTTTTATAAACACTACAAAAGAACACAGACAGTACTGGCAACAAGATGGATGACTTGTGCTGCTGCATTCATTAAGGTTAATGCTGCGGTACTCTCGCTAACAGAGCAGTTGGAGAAGACAGGAGGTCTTTACGATCGGTGGACAGTCTCAGTCAACAAAATATAAAAACAGACTATTCTTTTTGGTGTCCAATGTGCTTTCAGTTTTTTTCTTCTCTCTCCAATAGATTGTATTTTGCAAACACTCAGTGTAATATTACAACAAATATTATGGTTAAAACTCAAATATACTAATTGATAAAAAGAAAATATTTTTGGAAGAAAAGAAAAACCGGTATAATCTTTGTAAATTATATCATAAATAGGACTGGTGGAGTTATGTCACACATGCAGCTAAGAATAATATATGGAAATGTCTGCTCTACCCAAAATTACAACCAACTAATTGCAGCATTACCGCAAAAATGAAAGAGACAAGTAAGGAACTTCTCTGATGGCCCTGCATTAAAGACCAACATTGGATAAAGAAAATTGTGATAAATAAAAACGTATACCAGTTTCATTTAAGGACCAAAACATTGACAGCTGTGCCATATAGTTGGGAAGAGGATTTCGATGTACCGATTCCATGGCATACGGTTCATGAACTGATACACAAAACAACGCCGGATTGAAAACGTACACGTTTTTCAATTTAAATCATTATACAAAAATCTTGCAACCAATAGAATGTAATATATATGGGGGATACAACCATCCCAGCTCTGAAGATTTTGCTGCGAAGATACAGAATCATTAGATCATTTGTTTTGGTACTGTCCATATGTAGCTAGTTTTTGGTCGCAGGTTCAGGAATGGCTGAAGAATTGCAACATTTACCTGGAGCTAACTCTGCAAATAACACTGCTGGGTGATTTGAAAACTCATGGTCAATCGGTCAATAACATAATAATACACTTAGCAAAAATGTTTATCTTTAATTTACAATCTGTAGAAACTATAAGAATAGAAAGGTTCAGAACTTTTGTGAAACATCACAGCACAGTTGAAAAATATATGGCAGCTAGAAATCAAAACTGGATGGTGTTCAGAGATAGATGGGAGGAGTTGAGTGGAGCTGAAGGTTGGGACTAAAAATAACAAGATAACTAATGTAAAACATACGGTGTCCGGAAAATGTGTATAGGTTCAGAACTTTTGTCAAACAGCACAGTTGAAAAAGATATGGCTATTAGAAATCAAAACGGTATTCTCTTCAGAGATATATGTGAGGGGTTGAGGGTAGCTGAAGGATGGGCCTAAAAACAAACAAAAGATAACTAATGTAAAAATATACTGTGTCCGTAAAATGTACATAGTATGTATAAGCTGGAAGTAGAAGCCTAAGTATTGTTATCCATTAGTTTACTCCAATTAGGGGAGGGATGGTAGGGTTAGGGGAAAATAATAAAGGAAAATATATTTAAAATATATTATATACAGTGCATTCGGAAAGTATTCAGACCCTTTGACTTTTTCCACATTTTGTTACGTTACAGCCTTATTCTACAATGGATTTACACACAATATCCCATAACGACAAAGCAAAAACAGGTTTTTAGAAACTTTTGCACATCAATAATAAATGGAAATATCACATTTACATAAGTATTCAGACCCTTCAGTCAGTATTTTGTTGAAGCACCTTTGTCAGCAATTACAGCCTTAAGTCTTCTTGGGTATGACCCTACAAGTTTGGCACACCTGTATTTGGGGAGTTTCTCCCATTCTTCTCTGCAGATCCTCTCAAGCTCTGTCAGGTTGGATGGTGAGCATCGCTGCACAGCTATTTTCAGGTCTCTCCAGTAGATGTTTGATCGGGTTCAAGTCTGGGCTCTGACTGGGCCACGCAAGGACATTCAGAGACTTGTCCCGAAGGCACTCCTGCGTTGCCTTGACTGTGTGCTTAGGGTCGTTGTCCTGTTGGAAGGTGAACCTTCGCCCCAGTCTGAGGTCCTGAGCGCTCTGGAGCAGGTTTTCATCAAGGATCTCTCTGTACTTTGCTCCGTTCATCTTTCCCTCGATCCTGACAAGTCTTCCAGTCCCTGCCGCTGAAAGACATCCCCACAGCATGATGCTGCCACCACCATGTTTCATCGTAGGGATGGTGCAAGGTTTCCTCCAGACGTGGCGCTTGGAATTCAGGCCAAAGAGTTCAATCTTGGTTTCATCAGACCAGAGAATCTTGTTTCTCATGGTCTGAGAGTCTTTAGGTGCCTTTTGGCAAACTCCAAGCGGGCTGTCATTTGCCTTTTACTGAGGAGTGGCTTCCATCTGGCCACTCTCCCGTAAAGGCCTGATTGGTGGAGTGCTGCAGAGATGGTTGTCCTTCTGGAAGGTTCTCCAATCTCCACAGAGGAACTCTGGAGCTCTGTCAGAGTGACCATCGGGTTTTTGGTCACCCCCCTGACCAAGGCCCTTCTCCCCCGATTGCTCAGTTTGGCCGGGCGCCAGCTCTAGGAAGAGTCTTGGTGGTTCCAAACTTCTTCCATTTAAGAATGATGGAGGCCACTGTGTTCTTGGGGACCTTCAATGCTGCAGACATTTTTTGGTACCCTTCCCCAGATCTGTGCCTCGACACAATCCTGTCTCGGCGCTCTACTGACAATTCCTTCGACCTCATTGCTTGGTTTTTGCTCTGACATGCACTGCACTGTCAATCATGTCCAATCAATTGAATTTACCACAGGTGGACTCCCATCAAGTTGTAGAAATATCTCAAGGAGGATCAATGGAAACAGGATGCACCTGAGCTCAATTTCGAGTCTCATAGCAAAGGGTCTGAATATTTGTTTCTGTTTTATATTTTTGATACTTTTGCTAACCTTTCTAAAAACCTGTTTTTGCTTTGTCATTATCGGGTATTATGTGTAGATTGATGAGGATTTTCATATAAAAAAAAAAAAATCAATTTTAGAATAAGGCTTTAATGTAACAAAATGTGGAAAAAGTCAAGTGGTCTGAATACTTTCCGAATGCATTGTGTATATATATATATATATATTTAAATATATATATATATATACAGTGAGGGAAAAAAGTATTTGATCCCCTGCTGATTTTGAACGTTTGCCCACTGACAAAGAAATG